CGGATAAAAATTTAACAAGATCAGACGGTGCAATCCAACAGTTCTGGCTATTACTTTCAACATCATCATCCTATCCTGCAACACAAAGTAACAACAATAGTGGACAAAAGAAAATTTCATATATCAACCAATAAATAACACATGTAGTCTAACATAGAAGAGAAATTCCATTATAAATTACTGTTATCAGCTTAGTGTAGAGTGTGAACCAATCTACCAAAACATTGAAATGACCTTGACTATAGCCTTTCAATATAATAAATAAAATTCACCCATTCAAAACATTCTGAATAGAGTAAAGAGCCACATATAACTCTTTATAATACATCCCTATCTTAATCACATGTAGATTCAAGTATTCAGGCCAATTTTCCAAAACATTAATGATCTCGATGGAACTACAGATCTTAAGAACTTAATCACTAGCAGGAAATTGAAGATAACGAACAATATAGAAAATCCTTCTTTTAATTAACAAGAACTTGCAGGCTAACAAAGCCACCACCAGACTTGCTATATAGATCAGCAAACATGATATTAAAGTACAAATTTCGAAAATAATAATAAGGTGCATGAGGAAAAGGATAACTACCTCAAAGCGTTCATTGCATCTTTGAAGGCGAGAGAACAGTTTCTCAGCGAAACCCTAAAGCAGCACCAAAAGAAAAAATTGTCAAGGAAGCATAAGGATTTAATTTACTGAACTATCATGCAAGGACCAACCAACCTGTGCATCTTTTAAATGAGTAAGAGGTGAATAGTAACTGGAGCTGTTACTTTGTGATGTTATTCGCTGCTGCCTTTTCATGTTGCGTATCACACGCTGCAACTTTGCCTTCTTTTTTTTCTTGCTGGCAACCGTACCTTTATGATTTGCCTAGAAGTAAAATAAGAAATAGTCAATTGAACAAGTTCCTAATTTTTTTTTAAAAAAATTGCTACAGTCTCACCACTCAAAAGAAACACAATGTTTACATGATCTAGATTAAATTTCAGCTGATGAGTTGCATGTGATGGAAACCAATTTCCAGACATGCATACAAAGAAAATCACAATATATTAAAATGCAAGTGATATCCACAGTTGCATACTTAACTTTTCTAATGCATAACCAAATTTGCATAACTGAAACTTGTGTTATTTATTAACAAGAAGGGAGACAAAGTTTATCTTTTAAAGTAAAGGTGGGGTTCTGCACATGACTGCATTCCCTGAAATCAACTAATAACCCACCCAAATAACCACTTACCCTTTGCAAAACCAAAAAAAACTAATAACCCCCTCCCAAATAGGGTTTTCAGATTATCAACAAGCACCACAATATTTTGGGTATAACTTGACAAGCAAAAGCTAGATTCATTTTGAATAACTCCATGAATAGTGATTAATAATTCCAGAAGATTTATTTCTGTTATTTGTCTCAGTTCTTTAACATGGTTTACTTCAGGTTACCCTCGGTCAGCTTCAGTACTAAAATTTACAATCTAACCACTAGAACAATTTATTTTAATTGACTGTAGGAAACAGATACAGTGCTTCCATATGATCAAAAGAATAAAACCTGAACTACTTAAGCATGCAAGACCTTGTAAATAGCTTCTCGGCTAAGAGTAATAGGCTGTTGACTAGTTGTATCATCTTCACTGCTTGAGGCTTCACTGTCATCCTCCTCTTCAATTTGTTCATAACCAAGAAGAAATGAGAGAGCAGATATCATAATCCTGAACACATAAAAGCTCCCTATAAGTTAAAGATGTATAAGTGTAAAAAGAAGAAAAGAATAAGCTAAAATTGGCAACAAAGTGCACGAGGATTTTCCCAATGTAGAATCTGCGCTTAACTAAATGCACAAAGAAATATTTTTGTTGTGAAACAATAATGCTGAGGTTTAACAAAGCCAAGATTCGTCGAGGCTGTAAAGGCTCAAAGTGGATATGACTTAATTACAAGCCTAAAGATTATGTAGAATCTGATCAGACTCTTGTTGAAACTGATCAAGATTATGTCAAAGTTCAGACAACCAGAGTTAGGACTTACAAGAAGTTTTACAACCTAAAATCATGCCTATCTCAAGACTAACATGAGCCTTATTTGAAGCTTGATTAAATATACTTCAATTGATCTCAACTTTTAAACTTTACATATATCAATTTTTATTTAATTTATGCCATATATTTAAATCTTTTACCAGTTCATAGGTTATACATGAGTAATGACTCATGGATGCCAACAGATTGTGGAATTAAAAATTATTTTAATGAACACAAAACATCTCTTTGACACCCCATATCAAACTACATCAATCATTCATGAAATTTTATTTATTTAAAAAAATATGAAATATATATTTGAACAATTAGAGTCCAGTTTGACAGAACCCAACTAATTGCAAGCCCAGTTTGGCTTGAATTTGATTCAGGCCCGCACTTAGCTGTTTTGTTTCCGATGCTGGCTTAATTGAGCTCAATTCAGCTTGAATCAGAATGAGTTTGAGCTGTTTATCAACAGCTACATTAAATTAACAGTCCTATATAGCACCACAGGTGCAGACTTGACCAAACTACATACCTTGAAGATGAATGGAAACAGGCAGTGCAAATGGCATTAGCTGTACGATCATCAAACCACACCCTCCGTCTGTGCAGATCACAAAGAATAACAAGAGACCTTTTGGCCCTCTGTTCCTCGTCCCCCTACAAAAGGAAAACTTAATGATGTTGGTACAAGGTCATGATTATAGATCTCAACGGGAATAGAATAGAGAGAAGATTAAAGAATCAGAAGTCTAAAAGGCAGTTAACGGCATCCAATAAACCAAGATCATCACAAGCTAAAATATTTAAAAAATGAAATACATACCTGCAGCATCAAAAAAAGAGTATTCTGCAGTTTGCGATTCTTGGCTTCGTTCTTGTGTTTCTGGTTCATGCGTCGAATGTTATGTACTACATGTGAAAAGGCCAGTTTTCTTAAGGTCCGATCACCAAGAATCTGAAGGTCCATAAACAATTCGAGAGTTTCTTCAATATCAATGATCTGGAAACAAAAAAAAAAGTAACCAATGTGATGTTAAAGTCCGTCGAAGATTAAAACAAGAACAGAATTATTTCCAATCAAAACAAGAAAAATTCAAGATGTCATCAATTCTTCAAACAATCATTCACACAATTTGTAAATCCCATATTCCAAAAAGAAAAAGAATTCAGCGTTCCAACCTTTCTATTGACGAGGAGGATCAGGGCTTGCGCAAGATGGCACCTCAACGACGACGGAAGGCCCCGGGAGTCGACACGAAGGAGGTCGGCGATCTGTCGGGGGAAGTTTGCAAGCTTCTCTGGGTAGAAAGGGGTGACATGGGCGAGAAACATGGCAAAGTCCCCGAGATCCTTGGCTAGGGAGAGGTCGGAGGAGGGCCTGAGGGCGGACTGGTGGCGGAAGAGGTGGAGGGAGGACTCGAAGTGGCGGTAGAGGAGTTGGAGCTCCGCCTCGTACCCATCGGGATCGCACTTCATCTTGGACTGCAGCGCCGGGAGGCTCAGCTTGTCCGCTGTCCGACCGGCAGCCGAGAGGGACTCCGGCGAGAGGAGAATAGCGGAAGCGGCGGCCGGCGTCGACATCTTGGAAACCAAGGAGAGATCGAAGCAGCCCGCTCCGCCCCAAAAACCCTAAGCAGTTGACCGGTCACCTACCATTTAAAGCGGCCTTTCTCTCACAAAAATAAATATACTAAATAATATTTTTTATCCATTAAAGCTATTTTTTTTATGTATAATTAACTTATAAAAAGAAAATGATAAAAAATGTCCTATAAAAATTTATCAGATACTAATAAATTTAATTTAAAAATAAATATAAAATTGTTTCAATTTTTTGAAAGATACTGACTATTAAGTGGTTAACACTTTTTTGAATTATTGAAATATTTTATTTCGATTATTTTTAAGTCATAAAGACTTACAGATTATTGGAATATTTTGCAATGCATTAGGTACTATTGATATGTATAGATGAAGATATCATATTAATATATTTCGTACTCAAATTTTATTAATCCAAGTCAGTTGATAACAATACAATCTTAAACAAAGCTTCAATTTTTTCTTTAATTAAAATATCAAACATGTTCAAAATGTATAATTTAAGTGTAATATTTTACTGATGATTAGTAAAATCTGAGTTGACCTAATATTTTGCGAAGTACAGTGACCTTTATCTTTGTTTATAAATAATCACATCGAATCTTTCTTATTTCTTTTGAACATTCATCCCAAATGGGTACTCTGTTTTCCTCCTCATTCTTATGCAGGTCGAGAAGTTTGATAGGTTGCTTAATTACTCATGCGATCACCTCTGACACAAAATTGACGAGTTGATATGACAGTTGAATGGAAACACTGCCATTGCTGAATGCTTACTTACATACTGGGAGAGAGAAGATGCTTATACCAAGAACTACAAAGCAGCAGACAACGTATGTGCATGCGTGGCTACCAACGATCCAGAACTATGATGTTGCTTCTCACGTTGCGGGTGCCATCCGTCCACGTGATGTACCCAAGAACGTTGATGGGTTTCTGATTGGGTTTGTTCGGCTTCGCCTCCACGGTGTACGTCTTCTCCTCCCCGACGCTCTTGAACTCGAGGATCGACGGAGTCACCGACAGTGTGATCCCGACGGGCTGCGTGACCTGCACCTTGTACGTGCCAGGCGGGCCGACGTTCTTCACGGTGCGCGTCGCGGTCGCCGTCGTCGTGGGGTAGCGGATGGCTATCATGGGGTAGTTCAGGTTGTGCTCCTCGATCTTCTGCTTCGGGCACGCATAGGGCGGGTCGGTGAAGTGGGCGAGCTGAGTTGAGTTATATCCCATCGAGCACAGCAGGTCCAAGAAGTCGGTGGGCTTCAGGTCGTACACCAAACCCGGATCCATCGCACTGTTCGGCTGAATGTTCCCAGCTCCGAATCTCCATGGATCGGTTTGTGATCCCATAAAGTTCTTAATCGAATTCCCTGCGTCGTCCAGAATTGTTGCTGCCAAAGGAAGACTAACCATTCAGCATCAAAACTACAAACACAGAGAGAGAGTGAGTGAGTGTGTGAGAGAGAGAGAGAGTCATACCGGTAGTTAAAATTGCGGATTTAATGGCAGCAGGGCTCCAATCTGGATGGAGAGTTTTGAGGAGACCGACGACGCCGGCAACATGAGGGCACGCCATCGAAGTGCCAGATAACAGATGATAAGGAACGGAAGGATTGAGAAAATCCTTATCTTTCTTTGGAGCTTGACTGTAGGCAGCAAGAATGTTCACTCCCGGTGCAGCGACGTCGGGCTACGCAAGAAACTACGATGAGCAACGAGGGTTACGGACGAGATCAAACGAACAAGCAAAAAGCGACACCTTTGTGATCAGTGGGTTATGGTAATTGGGTCCAGGAGAAGAGAAGTAGGCCACCGCAGGCGCCTGCCGGCCCGTCTTTAGCTCCGTCGTCGGCCCGGAGATCGAAAGGTCATTTGATCTACAGTCATCCATCGACATGTTACGAGGACGTATACGGAAGAGATGATAAGAAGTCGAGTGTTCCTCTGTACTTGGAGTCACGGATGTTCGATTGAAGAGCTTGACCATCTTTTTCGGAGATCAGCAGATGCGCCTGGTCCATGAAGGCGGTCATCAGGAAGTTGTCGCCGCGTTTATTGTTGTCGATGACAATCGTTCCGGCGGCGCCAGGCACCTGAGGGAAGTCGTCTAGTAGAGGCGGCGGAGGACCACGCTGGCACAAGACGATCTTGCCCTCCACCTTTGCAGCATCGATGGAATGCGGCTCGCACAACGTGCTACAGATGATGACCAACAGTTCTCGCTTCAACTCTCGGAAACGGTACATGGAATGCATGAATTTAAGTGCTTACGCGTCATCCTCGGAAGCATTAGCAGCTATGACGTCGACAGCTCTGATCAATGTGTATTTCTTCCCTGTATCAAGAGATTTCAGCGTGAAGCTCCTCCCCTGAGAAGAAGATCCATTGATTAGAATTGTTTCCTACGTTTTCTGAGCTTAGATCAGCACGAGAAAGTAGAGGAAGGAAGGAGATGGAATCCGACCTGTATCTGCTTGTTGTTGGTGGAAGTAATGGTCTGTTTGAAGTCCCTGTCGATGGTGCTGGCGGCCACGGTGATCACCCAGGGGGCGGCGTTGTTCACGGCCCCTAAAAGGAAAGGGCCGCTGTTTCCGGCCGAGCACGCCACGGTGATGCCTTTGGCAACAGCGTGGAACGCACCGATCGCGGAGCTGTCGCTGAAGTAATCCACGCTTCCCGCGCCGCCTCCGAGAGAGACGGAGATGACGTCGACGCCGTCTTGGATGGCGGCGTCGAAGGCCGCGAGCAAGTCGGCGCCGTTGCACTGACCACTGCAGCTGGCGGTGGGAGGCGCGTTGGGCTCGTCGCACAGGTTCCAGCACACTTTGTATGCCGCGACGCGGGCGTGCGAGGAGCCGCCCTTGGCCGTTCCCTTGGCGTTGCCGAGGACCTCAACGTCGGGGACGAAGTTGCCGGCGGCGGTGGAGAGGGTGTGGGTGCCGTGCCCGTTGTGGTCGCGCGGGGACGTCACATTGAGCGTCACGTTGTTTGCGGCCTCGAAGCCGTGATAGAATGACTTCGCTCCGATGAGTTTCCTGCATCAACCGGAAGAACACAACGTTGGATTCCCACCATACCATGAATCCCAAACTGATCTGGAAACTAAGATATCCTCTGATAGATTGCATTCACTTGTTGCAAGTAACTCCATCTGTTGGATCTTTTTGGCACTCTCCTTTCCACCTCGTTGGGACGTCGCCGAAGCCATCGTCTTTGAAGCTCGCCGACTCAGGCCACACACCTGAAGCATCAGGGATTAAGGAGATGAAGAAGGAGCAAACAAGATCACACTGCTCGAAAGGGTTAGGAAGCGCACCGGAGTCGATATTAGCGATGATGGAGTCGCTGCCATACTTCGCTGCGGTCCAAATGGACGAATTCGACACACTACCGTCGTCTCCTTCCACGTGAAGGAAGGCCCATGACCGTGTAGTCTGCAGCTCGTAGTTGATGCTCTCAAACACGGATAAAACACCAGGATGCTCTGCAAACAAGAAGTTGATTCATGAAAGCACTTGTTTCAGCATGAAAGAGATGGACAGGGTACTGACCTCTGATCAGAGTCGCTTCTTCTTCTTCCAGTGTTGCGGCAAACCCATTGATATGCTTGTTGTAGGAGTAGAAGATGGTTTCCCCAGCCTTCTCCTTGCTACAGAAAACTCGAGCATGAATATGAGACATCTACAAGATCAATATAAGACAAATCTGCCTGCCTGTAACTCTTAGGTACCTTCCCAGCAGAGATCCCAGCAGCTCGTAGTGAGAGTCTGTGGCTCGAGCGTAATCTTCTACAGTGGCTTGGGGGCCATGAGAGTGTGCACCAAGGTACACAATATAAGGCTGCAATGGAGCAGAACACAAAATGAGGAGTTGCTTTACTGGAAATCACATTATGTAGCGAATTGCTGCACTGCACTGCTAACCTTCTTGCCGGCGACCACTGCATTCTGAAACAACGAGAGAACAAGAGTTGCAGAAAGAAGAAAGAGTGATCTGCTTGTTTGAATCCCCATGATTCTGTTCCTCGATCGACACTTGGTTCGCTGAAGGCCTCCGAAGGCTCTTATAGCAGGAAGAATTTGTTACGCAACCTTAGAATGAGTTTTTGTTGTAATGGTATTATAGCCTCATCCTGGAATCTTATCCTATTGATTAAGGATGCAATCTTTAACAAAGAATCTATTTGATAAGGAATATTCTAACAACTAATCTCATCCTTCGTTGACCCTTATAGACGCCACACCCTTTGGACAAAACGTCAAAGTTTTAGGATCATTACAGACCTGTTTTCCCTCTGGATGGAACGCCGACCCATGGTGCCAGCCCAGAAGTCCAATCTCTCTGAGAGTAGTCCCTTTACGCTGTAAACTACCCCAAAGCCATCAAAGGAGTTGGGTAAAGAAACACCGTCCATGAACACATCATTGAGCCACAATCCACTTCGGCCCAGTCTCGAGCCCACCACGGATGCTCGGACTTCACCTGACATTTGCCTCAGTGCCACCTCACACACCATAAGCCTACATTAATCACCTCCTAATTATTAGGGAACCTTATCATATAGATATTTTGTTGTAATCGTATTTTTGATGATAACCTTATCCTATAGATTAAGGATGCAATCTTCTCCAAAAATTTATGATAACTTTGGATTAAGGATGCAATCTTCTCTAGAAATTTCTAAACACAAAATCTATCTGATAGAAAATATTCTAATAACTAATCTAATTTTATCAGTTGGTTGTCATAGGGGTGCCAATGTAAAAAATGAGGGCATAGTCACCCCCCATGAGGCCATGACATGGAGGCAGCTATAGCATGCTGACCCTCGTGGATGATAGTTTATAGGGGGCCATTTGGGTCGGCCCTATCGGCCTCTGTGGATAGCAATCTATGAGCGACTGTTCGGATTTACCCCCCTCGATCGACCCCCATGGATAAAATGCCAAAGGAAGGCATCACGTTACGGTCATTATAGGTATGCCACCCTCGTGGACAGAACATTAGAGGGATGACATTATAATCGTTACAGACCT